TAATGGTTTCATTCGCAAACAAGTGCTCATGGTGTATTATCTTTTACTTGTTTTATCATTTGAACTATTGTTTTTTTTTTTCATACTTCAAAATTAAAAATTATACCGTTCAACTACTTTTTTTCATTTAAAAAAAAATGAAAAATTGTACACTATCAACATGTATCTCTTAGATCTAATCCATGCAAAGCTAACAAGATTATATCACATAATCTTTATACATCTCATGTATTTGGCTATCAGTGAGAAATGGAAAATTACAAAATTGTGCATCCGAAGAGATTTTAAATTGAAAAGCAAATTTTCGATACTCTTGAATCCCACGGCGAATGTTCTATTTTCTATAAATAGATTTATCGTGGTTTCCAACCGATTAAACACACTAATTCAATTAAGAATAAATATCAAAACTTCTCCTCTCCTCTCTCATTATACGAGTATTGTAACCCATGCCTGATGTTTCTTCATTATTAATTAGTATGCATCACGCGTTACAAAACATGCTCTGGCTATAATCGCGCGATAAAAATTTCATACGACGTGCTCCTTTCGCAATGACAATATACATCTTTACTATTATTCAATTCTAATTACTATTTCAATTACAATTATCAAAACTGTAATAATGATAATTGAATATCTTATAAACATCTTTCAATCAATGGTTTTCTCTGTACGTTTTTTAATTACATTTTGACACTATACTATCAGAAAGAGAAGAAAGAAGATAACAATTATTATATAAAAAAAATGTGAAATTTTCGGTGTATAAAAGAAAATTTTGTTTGTTAGAACGAAATTTTAATTAGTACTTCATTAAATGAATTCATACCCGTTTCGATATGTTATCTTACTTGAACGAACAATCACAAATGGTAAAAAGAATCGATGACCCTTTATTATATGAACTGTTTTTCTCCAGATGGGCTGAGAGATAAATGGAATTCTTTTATACCGCGTGTAAGTCTATGTAGTCAGTACAAAGCAAAAGAAAATCCCAACCTTTGTAATTTTGATAAATGAGAAAATAATTTTAAAAACTTACAACTCCTCCCTCTGACGTTGAGACAGCACCATTTTCATGATCCTCGCGTGTGTTTACTGGCTGATACTCAACAATGATTCAAACGAGCGCGACTAGATTCTTCTCCAGTCACCTCTTGATTACTTTAATACTCAGCCATCGACATCGCCTGCAATAGAGAAAAAAATGAACAGTTCCATCTTCAAAGAAATTGACATACACCAAATTACAAATTTCGATTATAGAAATTATATTCTAGATTGATAGATATTCTGTATTATATAGATATTGAACGATTCTGTATTATATAGATATTGAACGATTCTCTATTAACTGCATTGAAATATATATAATAACATTTATGGATAAGTTACAATCCTTTGGTTAAATCCTACAGATTAAAATGAAATTAAATGCCATGAAAATAATGAAGTTTCCTTTTTATATTTATCTTGTACAATTTCTTTAGGAAATTTAGCAAATTTTAGTAAAATATGGACTTCTAAAACATATAATTTCTTCAATAAGTACCACTGTTATCTATACTCTTACTATAGAACTCACACAAATAACAATCTCACCACGTATACCGTGGATTCAAATTTTCATTCATAAAATCGTTCCTCAATCATGAACAACATATGAACATCAATATCCAATATCTTCTTTTTTTGGTCCTCAGGCACTCATCATCTGACTCACACCTATTACATATATACATATTACATAAAATATAATAATTATATTACATAAAATTATATTACTAATTAATAATTATATTACATAATATATAATAATTATATCAAATAAATAGTAGTAATAATACTATTGATCGACTGAAGGTAATATCTTGTCTTTACACTTAAATTATGGGGAAGTTTTTTATTTCCGCAAGAGAACTTACTTGAAAATACTTCCATGAAACGATTATTTGCTCAATAGAAAAAAAAAAGGAAAACGTACAAACATAAAAGGAAGTTTAGACAAATGTGTGAGAACTGTTTATCTTGAAGTCCTTAATGGGTACAATAACATGCTTCTAGCTCTCATAATTTATTTTACTTTCCATCTATGGAAAAATGCGAGGGGATTAGACGAAGAAACTTTATCCACTTTTTTGCTTTTTCTTCACTAAAATGGTCCAGAAATTTTAATTCACAATTATAAATTTAATTCTTGAGGACAAGCGAACATACTCTCCTTGAGTGACCAATTTTAAAAGCATAGTGTTTCAACGCAATTAATAAATCGATAAATAAACAAATGAGCAATACGTAGATACTACTACAACAATAACGTAGATACTACTTAAATACGACGTTTGTAAACAACATTAGTAAGCATTGACACATTTGCATATTGCCTGTTTTGTATTAACCACAAAATTTCTTCGATTAATACTTTAAATGGAACTCAACTCTTTACGTGTGCGAGAAATGAAAATCGTCGAATTTTACATTCTAATAATGGCGGAAGTTTTCGAGAGTATTACAACACTAGTCAGCTGCAAACAGCGTACAAGGACCAGAATATTGATTATATTCCTTGGTTCATGCGACACCCACCCTTGCGATGCAATCCGGTGGAATGACATAACATTTGGCAAAACACGCGGGTCACGATCAAATAAACAGAAACGCAATTGGACGATGATGATTGAACGGTGGTCACGAAAGTCTACTGTAATTGGTGAATACGAAACAATATCAGCCAATTAGAATGGACGAATCGAGAGCGGCCATCTTTCCCCGGTAATGTTCAAGCTTGATCTGACGATCAAAAAACGCTCTTCAAACAATCCTGCCGATTGTTTTTTCGTGCGTAAAGAATTGTATCGTGGGAAGAAATGCTTTAAGAGGAGAAAGACCTTGACAATCGAGAAAGTGCGCTGCGTCGTCGCGACGCTTTACGGCGACGCTTATCGGCGCGATGCGCCGTAATCGATAAACCGGCTGTCCGCCCACCCTCGTTGTCGTGTGTTTCACCTTATGGTACATTCAAATATTCATCACGGCCTCGTTTTTAATTCCCTCGCCCAGTCATGTTAATATGCATTAGAAAAACTCGTAATAGAACTGTTCGATCAATTCACCAAATCTCTTCGATTCAATATCAACAGTTAAATCGATATCACTTCGATTAGAAACGACTCTAATTTTCGAAAGCATTCACACAGTCACACATCAACTTAAACGTAGATTCGATGGTATTAAATTTTTTTTTTTTACGGAAAGCTACGTTTAACGAAGAAACGACAAAAACTCGAACTCGTTGGAAAATTTTCTCGTAGAAAAAGATGGAAAACACAGATGCTATTTCAAACGATAATGTTTCAACGATTGAGTTGCTTTCTAATTCGTGATTTTGCTTAGGCGCATACGTATGCGATATTAATGACCAATGATTTTTTGCAGCGGCTATTTCCGGGATCATCAGTACGGGACTGTTGGCCTTCTCGACCCCGTGTACCGCGATCTACCTGTGGCTTCGCTTTTTCTCAATTCTTCTTCTTGCATGCTGCCACTCGAAAAGTTACTCAAGATCGTCCGCTGCTGCAAACATTATCACACGTACTCGTTTACGCGTGTACGAGTAAGACGAATAGAAACTCAAAACTCGTTCAACAACAATGCTAATTGCCATGAAAAAATACGCGTAACCACGAGAAAATTAAACCTAACACGGACTGACTAAATGTCCTGATGCCCTTACGTTCCAAAAATGCAAGAACATCAGGAAGAATTCAGTTCGCTAACAGACTCGACAGCTGATCGCTCTAACAATGACAGCATCTCGCACAAACAACGTCTGTCAAAAGATATGATCCGATTATTTCCTATTATCGAGCTGAGCTGACAGATAAGATAATAGCTCGAGATTGATGAAAAACTGAAACTCGACAGAAAGGTTCAAGTAGCGTGGCTCGGGAGTTGCGGCAAAGCGGTTGTACTACCCCACGACGCAAACGGTCATTCGGGAAAAAATCAATTCGAAGTGACGTGCAACATGTACATTGAATACGTGTGGAACGCGGCTGAATGACTGACGGAAAGTCATCAGCTAACGTGGTAATCGGTATTCAATCGAGTGTACACTGTCAGGCAATGTCATGTCGGTCAGGAAGCGCTGCTAGAAAATCATTAGGCGAACGCGGAACAACCGTTTGTTGTAAATCGTGCACGGCCATTTTGCCAGAACCTGTCACGTCTGGTTGCAGTACATTTGCCAGTCGGATCAGTCTACTAACGGATACAACGTAGGAACACGTATGGATACGTCCGCGTGCTTGGCATCCGATACTCACTCTTTTTATCGGAGTAGCAGTAACCAGGATCCTTTGAGATTGGAAAAAATCACAGAGAAACCGGACGAACACAACCACCGAAGAACTCTGTACTCGAGATAACTTCTGCGATAGGACTGTTTCACGAGGTGGCGCCTGCGAAAGTCTTCTTTCTTCGCGCATGCGCTAAATATCGATGTCACTAATCTCTCTCATTGTTCCGAAAGAACCACATTCTGACCGTTCTATCCTCGCTAGGGAATTTTCTATCAATCGCGTTTACATCTTTTTACTAGGAGAAAGCTGGAGATTCTCGGAGAAACGCGTAAATATTTTAAAACTTTTAATATTGTAAATAAACATGTAACTAAAAGAATAAATAAACAATTACAATATTGATGACATTGGTATATAACTTTGTCGAAGCATCTTCGTTTGAAATTTAATGTTTTAAAGAGGTTAAGGTAACGGAAAGTGATCAACAATGTAAATATTAGCATAATGACGAAACTGTAGTGTCAGCAAAAATTTGTTTAACTTTAATTTGTGCGTTAAAAATATCTTTTATACGTTTTTTTGTAGGTAAGATTTAATAATAAGTTAAATCTGTTACACTGTCAACCGGCGACATAACCTGTTTCTAATTTACATGTTTAATAAATTTCAAATTCATAAAATTATACACTTACTTAGACCAAAAATCGAAACTTTAATGGCTTTTTCACAATCAAATTCAAGAGGTAATACTATTTATAATTTTTTTTTCTTTTGTGAAAACTATGCTAGATTTTTATCTACACTGATTGTAGAATTACAAAACAGAAAAATCTTGGAAGAATTGCAATTGAAAAAACAAATGCTTTTAAAACAAGGTGTAGCACCAACATTAAGCACGTCATTAGCTGTTACTCCAACAGGTTCGCCTTCTAATTTGGTAAATATCTATATATTATTCATATAAATATATATATTTTCTATGTGATCAACTGATAAATTATAAGTTTGTTTTTTAATCGTCTCTACTCATCACCTAGCCTCCTACACAACCCTCTGATGGTGTTGTAATGAGTGCATCCCAAAGAGCTGCCTTACATAATGCAAATGCAGCATCATCAGGTTATTTTGTGACACAGGATTCTTCTTTTGGTAATCTTATCTTACCAGTTCTTCCAAGATTTGATACTAAATAACAAAATCGAATTAAACTTTCAAGTATAAATAATTCTAAAGACTTTGAATAAGTATAATAAGATAAATGTGATTTTTAATATGAACTAAGTAATTTTTTTAAATGAACCCCATGAAAGTAATAAAATTAGCTAACAATTGATAATTAAGTAAAGAAAATGGCTAGCATTCAACTTCGTAAGTTAGAAGAATATTTGCAACAATTAGACGGATTTGAAAAACCAAAAGTATTACTTGAACAATATTGTACTAGTGCTCATATAGCATCACGCATGCTGTATTGTGCTCAAGTACAATTCAATGACATTGAAGGACATACAGTAGCTGATTTAGGTTGTGGATGTGGTATTCTATCACTTGGAGCAAAGATACTTGGAGCAAGTCATGCGATTGGTTTTGAAATAGATTCTGATGCACTTAAAATTCAGTCTCAAAATTGCAGTGAAATGGAACTGTTTGTGGAAGCTGTACAGTGCGATATACTTCAATATTTACCAGGTACATGTATATGAATGTATAAAATTTATTTTTAAAAATAAAAATCTTTATATTATATACAATCTTGCAGGGAGGTTCGAAAAATACTTTGATACAGTGATTATGAATCCACCTTTTGGTACAAAACATAATGCAGGCACAGATATAAAATTTTTAGAAATCGCGACCAAATTAGCATCAAATACTGTATACTCGTTGCATAAAACAAGTACACGTAATTACGTTCTTCAAAAAGCTGCACAATACGGAGCTAAAGGCAAAGTTATTGCAGAACTGAGATATGATTTACCAAAAGCGTATAAATTTCATAGAAAAACTTCTGTAGATATTCAAGTGGATTTTACACGATTTGAATTAAATTAGTGAGATATTTTCACGAAACTGGTTGTGCATTCTAATTACTCGAATTTTAGGCCTTGTGCCAATGTTATTTCATTTCCATGATTAATAGTTATAGTCGAACGTCGCATATAATTCTTCCATGAATCGCTTCCACACTCGCGTCCACCACCTGTAGCTTTTTCTCCTCCAAATGCACCACCTATCTCTGCTCCACTAGTTCCAATATTAACATTTACTATTCCACAGTCAGAACCAAGAGGACCAGCCCACTATAAAAATGTATTTATATTTTAATATTATCAGGTATATAATGCAATAATATAATATAAATCTTACCAGGGAAATATCTTCTAACTTCGTACTAAATAAAGCACTGCTTAATCCTTGTGACACATCATTATTAAGAGCAATAGCATCTGTTAAAGAATCGACTTCAAAAATATATACAATTGGTGCAAAAGTCTCTTTTTGAACAATTTCAGCTTTAGGTGATAAACCAGAAATAATAGTTGGTTCGACATAAAAACCAGCTCTATTTATTTGTTTTCCACCAAATTCAATTTTGCCACCATTTTGTAAAGCACTTTCTATTGCTTGCTGTAAAAAATTGTACATTTGTAAATTATATTAATAGTTGAGTTTATCATTATTATTAACATAATATTCATACATTATATTTATCTACTGCTTGTTGATTGTGTAATGGTCCATATAAAACATTATCATCTAAAGGATCTCCTATTCGTCCCAATATACTCTTATATCCCGCTTTCAATTTTCCTATTTTGAATTTGCATCTTTTCATTAAATATTTTTTGTAACTATAGTTAATTGTAATTAGATTGGTATAAAATTTTACCTAAAAATTCATCTTTTATCTTGCTGTGAAGAATTAATCTTCTTGTACTGGTACATCTCTGTCCAGTTGTTCCTACAGAAGAGAATACTGCTGTTTGAACTGCCATATCTAGATTTCCATCTGGAGTAACTGTTACAAAAAACACGATATTGCATTTCAGTATATGATATGTAACTAATTGTATGATGATATAACTATTGTTCTTGCTTGATTTACCTATCATTGCATTGTTGCCCCCTAGCTCTAACAAAGATTTTCCAAATCGTTGTTGAACTTTAAGAGCCACATTTTTTCCAACTTCGGTACTTCCAGTAAATGAAATTAGAGGTACACTACAATAAAAATAATAATTGCAGTAAATTATAAAAATTTACTAAAATTTCAGTATTTTAAACCTTACCGCGTATCATTAACAATAGTATCACCAACATCAGATCCGCCTGTCACTAGAGATGCAACAGAGCCTGGTAGCCCATTTCGTTCTAATACTTGTGCGATTATTTTTGTAGTTGCAACAGAAGTCAATGGAGTAGTAGGTGCTCCTTTCCAAACAACCGTATCCCCGCATACCATTGCTATAGCAGCGTTCCAGCCATATACCTTAAATAATCTCTTCTTAATTGGAGTTACTGTCTTTTATTAAATTTACCTACTATTTTATTATAGTGCTTACTGCAACAGGGAAATTGAATGCAGAAATAACTCCAACTACTCCAATAGGATTCCATTGTTCAAGAATTATATGAGATTTTCTCTCCGAATGAATTATAGAGCCACCAAGCATTCTAGATAAGCCTACCGCATAATCACAAACGTCAATAAATTCCTGAATTTCGCCAATAGCCTCTGGCAATATTTTTCCTGTAATATTATATATTATTACGATGAAGTAAAAACACTAGAAAGAAAATTTTGTGTATAAACGAATTATACCCATTTCTAAAGACACTAATCGTCCCAGTGGCTCTATATTGTTTCGAAGTTCCATTCCTATTTGCCGCAATATTTCACCTCTTTTAGGAGCTGGCAATAATGCCCACTGAATCCATGCTTTGCGACTTTCTGTAATAGCATTATTTGCTTCTTCAGATGTCGATGTTCGAACTTTCGCTATTACTTTGCCCGTTGCTGGAGAAACTGATTCTATCACCTGCATTATAGAAAATAATTTTAATTAATATTAATTAAATATTTAAAATTTGTACAACATAATTACATAAGTAAAGTAATACCTTTCCAGATCCTCCCCATCGTCCATCAAAGAAACCTGGATTTTCAGTTGTAAGACCCAATTGCTTCAAGAATCCATATTTTGGATCTGTTACTAAGTGTCTCACTTTCTGCAGTTGAGGAATGTAAATACTATTTTTGGATAATAAGCGAATCATTCTAAATTAAAAGTAATAAACTAACTTACTTGTGAAAAATAATAACTAACTCTTTAAAGTGGATGCCACAATATAAAGAGACCGTGGCTTATCAAACTAAGAAGAGAAGGGATATGATAAGCTTAAAAGGAGAAAAACATTACAGATAATTAAAATTAACATCAGTTTTTGCAATAATTACAATTTTTCAATCGTAAACAGTAGAATTCCATATACAGAATTTTCACTATGTGGGATTTTACTTATTCTATGGCATTCACATTATCATGTGATAAAGATTCAAAGTGTTTACGATATACAAGATAAACAAACAAGATAAAGAACAATTTGTAATTACTTTGCTGTTTACAATGATCTGGAAAATGTTTTTTTCTAGTTAAAATTCAATTTTTTAATTTTCAACTTTAAAAATATTTTTTTTTTATAATGTGAAAAACATTCATCATATATCATAATAATATAAAATTCATATTATTAAAACAGTTTCAAAATTCAAATTACATATTACTCTTCTCGGATAATTTTGTCATTATAACGTTATTAAAAACAATATCGCGAAATTCAAAAGGAAGTTTTAAATATTCACGGAGTATCAAAATATAGGTATAAATGGCAGTTTCATACGTGTCAACAGCTATATTTCAAATATTTAATCCTATTATAGAAACCAAAAATTTTTATATAAATTTTTACTTTATTATAATTATATGTTATATACATATCCAACGATTTTTTACGCATTTTTCTGATTATTGTAGAAAAAAATATTCAAAATAAAAAATAGTCAATTTTCAACTACAAATTACAATATACAAAATTCTCAAAAAAGAACTTTTTCGAATAAAATCTCAAGACGACATTGAATTTTTTAAATAACATTACATATTTTTAATCTCATAGTGTTGTAGCAAACATCAAAACGAATTGAATGACTTATTATATCTTAACATGACCTTAGCTTTTGAAATTTCATCTTAACTGGTAGATATAGATAATAGGATGCATTAAAGCATAAGCAAGATAAATGTTTCAGAAGAATTATGGTTCTTAGTTGTTTTTCTTTTATTTTTCCCTTCTCGTACCCATTGAAGAAATTAATCTATATTGAACCATTGGTGAATTAATACAACTTGTGAGCTATTTTTTCAAAATTTCTTCTTATGTTCATTGTGTCTTCCTTTAGTTTTAAATTTCCTACTGTAATATTGTGTCTTGTATATTTCTATTCTTTGTCTTGTCAGTTTTGTTTCTTTTTATTTATTTTTTATTAATTTGCTTTCTAAATATTCCTTTTCTCATCTTCTGAATAATAGAATGGATACTTCTCTTTCAAGGTCTTAAATGAGTGAAGAAATGACATTCTTTTCACGCTAGCTCTTTAATACTTTTCTGATTTTTAATTCTCTGAAATTTTATACTTCAGTCATTGATAGTTCTTTGACTTATTGTTAGTATTGATCGATTCTTTAGTATAATATTTATTACCATACTTATAAGAATATTTTAGAATCTTTTATTGGCCTTTAGAAATTGTTTACTTCCACCTGATGATAACCAATACTGATTATCAGGTCACTATCATGACACACAATATCTTTATTCGTGTTCTTATTATTTAAATAAATTTGTATTAAATTTTTATAAAAAATGATTCGTTGTTTTTGAATAACTCCATTTATTCGCAATATCTTACTCAAACTAATTGAATTAAATTTCATTTGAATAATTCCCAACTCTTGTTACGATGTAAACTGTATTCCTATTTCGAACACTTTCTTGATTACTATCATAATCACGTTTGTAATGAATACAGAAAATAAATGTTTACAAATTGATAAGAAAAATTGTACACACGTGATAATATATAATATCATATGCACGTCTAATACACATAATTAACATTTTTTACAATACTAATTATAATATAGTTTTGTGCTCTATAGTCTTGCTAACCAATAATAAAGATTAACAAAATCTTGGTAAAGTTTAGAAATTTAGTGATAATGAAATAAATATCTTTGTTCATTTTATTGCTGATATTTTTATTTTACGTAATACGTAAAAATATATCAATATTCTCACAGATACTTAGTAACTGATAATGTGTATGTATATACACACACATTAAATTAAAAATTACGATAAAATTATTTAAATATTACATTGTCCAGTAAGTACAACATATTTAATATATTTATTTGCATTCTACATATGTATATCTCGACGTGACAAATTCAAAATTTCTGGTGAAATACTACTATCATAATAATGGTAGGAGTTTTTATATAAAGAAAAAATTTCTATAAATTTAATAACTATCTCGCAAATAATGTAAAATGAGAAACCATTCAAATTTTTATTATAAATGTCTTTTTTTTTTATCTATAATTTTAATACAGGAAAATAACACTTATCCATTCAAGGTGTATATTCACCCTGAACTGACTGAACTTAAAACAAATTATTTACAATATACTTATAAATGATATTTACAAATAAGAATCACTGACATATATAGAATTATAGCTCCACAAGTATAAAACATGGAAAAAGAGAATTTTTAAGATGAATGTAACGCTATCTATTTTTTGAAGGATAACATATCAAAGGAAAGTGAAACAAAAGTAAATGAATAAGTGCTAAGAAATCTTGTTAAATACTTGAATAATAGAAAATTAAGATGAAGACGATTGCTAATTATTAAGTGTCTTACAAAATACTAAATATATGAAACTGAATTATTTACACACATCATACGCATACAAAATCGATTTTTTTTAAACTCATAATGTACAATGTACAAAGTTCGATCGAACAATTTACTCGCCGTATATAATAATAATGCTGACCAAATATAAAATTTGCAAGCTCATATCTCGATAACAATTTACATATGTACCACAAATATACAGTGTTTTGAAAACATCTTGATACTAGCTACAAGTATATAATCAAAAGTATAAGTTTTTATTTTAAATTTTAAACGTGACTTTTACAGAGTTTCTCAAGAAGGCTACAAATCAAACATCATCAACATATGTATGTCTCCCAAAATATCTTATAAAAAACTTTTGTCTGAAAGATTTAATGTTTTTCGAGGTATGTGTTCTTAGTTGATACAAACACACTGTATATATATTCGTAGTTTAGTTATATTTTCATCACACTTTAGTTCATTAGTTATTAAATATAACTAATATATTAAATATAACAATCAATATGAAAATGTTTTTAGTTTTAGTCACAAAAGATCATTTTTGAAACTTATGCTGCGTTTGTCTTCTGCATTTTGTTGTAAATTTGACTCATTTATGTGTATGCGTTAATTTTTGTATGATAAGTAGATGATAGACGATTATCTATTGTGTGATGTATAATTATCAAATATACATCAAAAAAAATTTATTTACTTTTCGTTTTCTGGTTTTTAACACAGAATTCGTATCTTTCGCGTTATAGTGGATTCTACTATATAGTATTTTTTAAAACCTACAATAAAAAATTTTTCGTGTGTTCCTTTAATAGTAATTAAAATATTACAAAAACGTTTTATTCTAACACTATAATAATGCTAGCGACATCACAATGCGATACGGCAGTGATTTACACAGAATTATAATGTTATTCGTCTTTTTATATATTACGACTTTTAAATGTTCAGTGTATGCCACGAAACAAAATAGAACTTCAGTAGAAATTACTTTTTTATAATTTCATTACTCAGACATTGAACATATCTTAATTGTAATTCTTCTTATTGAAATACAATTATTTCAACCCGGTCGACAAAACTGATAACATCGCAAGTCAGAAATTAATTGCAGCACTGACCTCGTCAAAGTTGGTTGGTCCTGTTAATACGTAACAAAATCAATAAAAAAACTATTAATTATTAATAGTAGCAATAACTATTAATTATTAATTATTAATTATTATTTACAAGTTTGATTTTTGTGTTTTACGTACTGTAGATTTGTCAAAGTTTCCTAATAATGTAGCTTTTTGCATGTCGTCTACACCTTCACAGCTTGCTAAAAATGTTGGCAAAAAATGTCCGAAAAACCATGCTATATTAACTGAAGCTAAACTATGAATAGCAGTTGCAATTTCATCTGCCAGTAAATTGTGAGATCTGGAAATAAAATGTTATTAAAATGTTTTATTTAAGAAATAGTAAATTAAAAATATTCCACTAACTGTTGAAATAAAACGGTAAATAACGCCATTAGAAATCTTTCGAGTAAATGAACTTTGAAAACAGCTCGTTGATAAAGCCGCCATCGTATATTTAATTGTTCTAAACTTTGTAAACTTTGACGAAATATGTTAACATCTGGTTGAAGAAGAGCTTGACCAAAAGCTTCTAAAATTGCAACTAATTCTTCCTTGTGTTCGACAGATTCCTCTTCATCAGCATGACCAAGAGTACGTAATATAGAAGTATTATAAAAATATTGCCATCGATGCATAAGTATACTAAAATAAAATTTACATTTTATTATCGTTACATTAATGATAGAAAGAGTCAAAATATAATTTATTTTTCACCTGTAGAAAAGTTTTAGTAACACAAGTGTGGTATCTGGATATGCACTAAGATCATTTCCAACAGCCGGCCATACTTGGCCTAAACATAAGTTAGTCACTGAAGGAACAAATGCTTTAAATGCACTACTAGGTGCTGAAACGACCAATATTAAGATTTCTAATAACTGATCTAACGCAGGTCCCGCAGATATATTTTCTCTGCAAATGCATGCAGATGTAAAAATAAAATTATGTAAATTATATAAATTAAATTAAATTATTAAAAATTAAATAAGCTACCTAGTATAAATATGTAACAGTCCTTGAACTGCATTTTGAGTAAACTCAGGACCTAGTTGTTGTTGTAACACTGAAAACACTGAATGCAAAAAACTAAGCAAAATCTCGCATACACTTTGACATCTTATCATATATGGCAATAGTTCTAATGTTCGATTTATAGTTGATCCCAAACATGAATGTAAAATTTTTTTTATCGTCGTAGACGAGGCAGAACAGTCTTCTAGTAATTGAGTTAATGGCACTACTGTCATTGAAATTGTAGACTCAGAAGGTACAGGTTGTCCTTCTAAACCAAGAGGCGTAGATAGTGTGGATATCATCGTGCCTAAGTCAATTGAGATTATACACATGTATTATTAATATTTATTAATATTTAACAAATATTTAATTTTACTTACTTAATAATCGTTCTCTAATAGTTCCATCACCATGTGGTAATACAATTGCATTCACTAATGCTCTTCGCAATACTTTTATTGTATCAGGTTTAAAGAATGGATATGTTACCATAGAAATTAAATTTCTAAACGTAGGTTCATCCCATAAAACAGGTTTTAAAATAGCAGTGATACTTTGAAAAAGATGTGTAGCGGAATGAATCAAATTGGCTGGTGGTGGATTATCACAGAATGTTGTATAATCTAATGCTAAAATACACGAATCAATACATCGTTGACAAAGTGACTCTTTTGTTTTTTCTGGCCTATTGGCTATCCAATGACACCAAGCTTGAAGTGAAGCTAATAACTGTGAATGACTGATCAACAGAAAAAAAGCACATCATTTCATTGAAATACTTGCATAAAAATATTTTGTTACATGAACATTACTTACACTTCTATAAAATCTATTACAATTGCAGCTGGTTGCAGTGATGCTTTGTACAATTGGTTCGTCTTGGCAAATTTACAAGCATCTAATGTTTGAGACACTACTTCTTCAGCTAATGACTGATCAATACTCTGATCATCGCCTGTTTATTAAACAATTATGTATTTTGCTAAATTAGAATCATGATATTATTATATAAGAATTAACTTACCAAGGAAAAGTGAGTACAATCTTGCTAATGCTTGAGTAGTAGAAGCTAAATCTCGTAAATGCGCGTGTACATTTGATGCCTCAGGTTCGTTTAATAAAATAACTTGATTATTAGCAGTAACAGCACCTAATTCTCCAAACATTACTAGTCCTTCTCGCCAAGAACGGTACTAAACAATTTAGATCAATTAATGTCTGCAAATTAAATTAAACATAAATAATTGATAAAAATTTTACCAATAGTGTAAAAATTGGAATCGGAGAAATCTCTGCTACTTTTGCTAAACACTCTATGTTACATCTTAAGAAGTGCTGCCATTCCGTTTCTTCCTATAATAGAAATATATAGATTAAAATAAATATAATTTAAAAGAGAGACAGATAGGATAAAACTTTTGTAATTTTTCTTACATTTTCATCTAAACTTTCTGTGTCAAGATCTTTTAATGTACGTGTATTGAGCTTAAAACTCATTTTTTGCAATACTCTTTCGGCAAGAGCTAGTGCTACTGGAGAGTAGCGAGATTGAGTACTTTCTAAAAGAGTAGTCCAAACGTCTAAACATCGTAGATATCCGGTTACTGTTGAACATTGTTGAAAAGTATGATGGCACAAAACTTCTAATAACGTATTTACTGGAAATTTTGGACAAGACTCAACTCTTTTTAGATGATTTGTTACAAATAATTGTAAAAACTCTGTCAGTTTCTCCATATAACTAGAAATATAATGACTTTTTTTCAGAAATGCAAAGCTTTTAATTATGAAAAAAATTTGTAAAATGTAGCATATCATTTAATACCTCTCGTTTATAGAATCTAAACGTTCTAAAAGCTGAAATAATGTAACTCCATTTTGAAATATTTCTACTAACAATCTATCAGTTACATCGGGAGAACATAATGGTCGATATAAAAGTTCATTTATGGTGGTCACAGCTTGTACAGCCATTTCAATCTGTTTACTATTCTAATGATAAAATATATAACTATTTAGTATATTTTTTAATTGAATTGCAATATATATGTATACTGTGATATCTGATATATAATCAATCCTACCATTGCATCGTGATACCTGGCACATGTAAAAATGGCATCTAATAAATTTGTAGAGATATGTTCTGACAATTCAATCCAACTAAAAAGATGTGCTAACACATCTAGTGTTGCTATACAAACTTCACTAGTTCCCGTTGCTAATCCTTCTACATCTAGAATGGCCCTTGCAGGTGCTACTGTTTGTCCACTAGTGGGCGATGGAGGCGGTGTAACTGTTCCAGAACGACTTTGCAATTTTGTTGCTTCTTTTAAGAGTACTATATTAAAAAATAATAATTATATAGCTTTGATGAAGATATAAATAATTTAAAATCTATGGAAAGAGCCGTACTTGTAAGAGAATCCAAAGTCAAAGGCACTTGAGCACTAAGAAATCTAAATAATTCATTTTTCCTTTGTATTGGCAAATCTTCTCTTGGAGTGGCTAGTTCTTCTGAAGCAGTTCGCAAGTAAATGAGACCCAACAGTCTTGTATGCTTGTGACTTAATAACTGCCAAAAGAAATTAGATTTTAGATTGAAATAATTAATTAGAACCTTAAGTTCTGTATTAGAATATGTACAAACCTGTAAAATATTTGAATAAAAATCTGGATAGAAATGTGGCCAATCGTGTCTAGCAATATCTACAACTAATTTAACTACTTTGTTTCTTACAAAAGGAGCTACACCTCTTTCTAGTGATAAGGTATATAAAGTTGATCTTGTAAGAGCTCTGTCTTCCCATGGCAGTATTGGCCATCTTCTTCCAATTGTTGTCTACAATAAAACTTATTACATAGCCATCTAATAAATCTTTTATTCTTTCTTAAAGCATTGAAAAGTTCATTTCACATTAAAAATGATTTAGTAAAAGACATTTAGTAAAATTTAGAGATATATATGTGTACAATCACAAACAATTAAAATTACAGAATTCAATTATATTAGTTCATACCTCTAACGTAGACAAAGCAAACATACTGACATAATGATTGTTAGTAGAAGACAAAAAATGTAAACATGGTCTCCAGGAATCAATCTGCGCCGCAAATTCCTGAAAACTTCTTTCAATTGTACGTTTTCGTTCATTAGTTGTTTCTGGAGAAAAAAATTCAGTCATAAGATGCTCCAAATTCTGCAGAGCAGCTGCATCATTGTCCTGTAAATATAATTTACTTGGCACTTCAACAATGAAACAGAAATATGAGAATACTGAACAAGTACTGTGCAAATGACAGTTATCAAAATAATCTTTTTGATCTGAGTCTTTTAAATTTTGTGTATGTGAAAAATATTCTCATTTCTTAGCAATTTTCCTTTATTTAATTTAATTTAATACTCAATAATAATTTTAACAAAATAATATATTCATTTTTTAAATAATAAATATCAAATGACATGTTATGATTAAAACCTGCATTTATTTCTAAACTAATTTACATTAAATATTTATTTACGGAATTATTGAACGATAACGTATATTTTATCTTTAAGCATATATATTTCAAGACGTAATATAATACATGCGTTTAATTGCACATATTAATTAAATAACAGTTATTGTTTCACGTACCATGATAGCGTCAAAGAGCGCGTGTTGCTATAAATGCCGTATATAAATACACAAATCAGACAAGGTTAGGCTCTCAGTTGTCAAACGTCATGTTTGAAGCAACAAAGTACGTAATTAAATACTCAATCTCTCGATTCGTACATCATACGAGTATAATTCTGTATACATACTTATATTTTTGGCATATGTGTATACGAATATAAGCCATTACACTATTGCTATGTAGCCAATAGTAGGAAAGAATGAAAAAAGCAATCGTTTTTATTGAAGGATAGCTTTCGGTCATTATTTTTACCGCGAAAAACGAAGTGACTGCAACTTGTGATTAATTAGAAATTGTGATTAATTAGAAACTGTAAAGTTATATCAGTAACACAATGTCTATTAAATTATGTCTGTAGGATTATACCAATATTTTTCTTCACATCCATGATATTTATTTGTGTGCATTTTATGCATCCGATTCTAAGCTGATATCAGTCTGAAGTTTATTTAATATAAAAATTAAAAAAAAAATCAAATATGTATTTCAAAGATATAAATATAGTTGACGTAATCTGTTGCCAAATATGTTATGTGATTGATGGAATTTACGTCTATGATGTGAAATACGTCTTGAAATATCAAGTAATAAGACCGATGTAAGACTCAAAATTTTGTGTGTGTGTGTGTGTGTGTGTGTGTGTGTGTTACAGAAGTATATTGAATTTTAGAATATGAATATTTTAAAATATATTATTTGTAAGCTGATACGCGTTTAAAACTGTTCAGCGTGTTATTGAAGAACTGCTTTATCATTTACTTGTCACATGTGACATTATCGACTCAGCGTTAAGAAAGATTACAGCGCCACTAAAAAAACGTAATTACACATCGATATTCGATATTCGATATATTATCGATATAATTTATCGATTTAACGTGCGTTTTAAGTGGGAAGAACAGTAAAAAGAAGTGTGTCCAAACAACATCAGGTAAAGATTAAAATCAGTAGGTTTCAGATTCGTTTTTTATATTGTCAAATATCTTTATCATTTACAGGAAGAAAAGAATATAAAAATCATGAAAATTAGTGAGTGAAAAACACTAAGCACAGACAGTATGGTCATTGACAAAGGACACGACAGAGTTTATATGCTTTTCCACAACATGGAGAGTTAGGTGAGTAACTATATATATCTATAGTAATTGATATTTTTATACATTTTCAACATAAATAAACATGATTGATTCAAATAGTTATTTTGAACACAAGCTATTACTTTCAATCTTTTAATCCATAGTATAATTTTAGTTTTAGTAATATAAAGAATCTATTAAATATGATGTGTATTATTGCAACTTATGGGAGATATAAATTTGACAGTTATAATAAATTATTTTTTTATTGATAAAAACTGTCAACTGCTTTCCATTATTGTTACTAACGAAAAATCAAACTAACTTTCAGTAAAATCGTGTCACTTATTGTTAGACTTTTGTTACATACACTAAATTTAAATAAAATTTAAACTAAACATCTTAAATGTTCAAACATAACATTTTTATTACTTTAATTATATTATTGTATTATTGTATTATATTTAGTACTTTAATTACATTGTTATAAATTACAACAATTAAACCACTACAACAATTGTAAGTATTTTCTGATATTTTTAAATTATAATAAAATTCTGAATTATATAGCAAATAATATGAGCTAATTGACTACAATCGTAATTATATCTTTGTTCATATTATATAATTAGACTCATTAAATTCATGAATAAACATCAGTAAAATGCAGTAGTAAAACATAATTTTGTCAAAGTATTCATAAGAAATGCCGTCTTCAAGATCATATATCTTCTACTCTCGGTATAAATAAAAATTTATATTTATAAAATTTTTAAATCTAGTTGCTCGTGTGAATCCTATCGAATTACTTTCTCGTCAATGTGAACAAGAAGCGAATGAAGCTAGCGGTATTTGATAGAAATATCTTTGATAGGGAGAAAACCGTATTGCGGCTACGGTTAATTTCGTTCCATAGTTCACTTTTAGATTGTGGCTGAAATTTAAATCAATTCCAGTTTATACCTTGGGATATATCCTCGTCGATCGTGGGCGAATTGATTCGTTACCACACGTGGTTTACTCTCTCGATAATATTAGTCGAATATTCATTGTTCAGTGTAAGTGAAACGTGACGTACAGATAACTGAATGATATATACACATATGTGTATACTTCGATAGTGAGAAAATCTGAGTATAATATTTTTATAAGGCTGGATTATCATTCGTAAAACACGTATAAATGATGTAAGCGAAATATTTTCCTCGCAAAATTCTCTAAAATTTCGTACGATAAAAAAGTTATTCTCTCATTTTAACTTACTTTGAACCATACAATCAGAAACGATAATCAAAAGTCATTTGCTAATTACTTTTTGTTTAGCAGCAGAATACATTAATTCGTATTGTGATTTACGAATAAATATCGAAATAATTAGTTGAACCAGCGGCGAATGTTTTATTAATTTTCTGGTTCAACCATAAATCAATGTTATTACGTAACATATTGGTTCTTATACAGAAATCTATATTGTTGAATAATAAATTCATTCTCCTTTCAATAGTGCGTCATCAAAATTTTGGAAAGAGATATATTTCTAATGTAATTTTCGAGTAACTTAACGAGTGCTTATTCAAAGTTTATGCAGTACAGCAACAAATGTGTATAAATAATTTTGTACAAAGAGAGAAATTATTTCAAAAAGATGGACATTGCACTGCATTTTTTAATTTTTCAAATTATGATACATGAAGACACGACACACTGTGTAGTTATTAGTGGTAGGTATAAAGAAAAGTAGAAATAAAAGCTGGGATTTTATATGAATTTAGAATTATTATTGTACTCTAAATATAAATTGGGGATGTAAAATTTTTTATGAAATCATTAGGTGTTTCTTCGTTCTTCGTTATAATGAATGCATACAACATATCGTTAAATGTATAAAATATAATGTCAGTTGTAAATAAAGTTAGAAATTTCTCTGCTATGGAATATTCCTATTAAGTGCATAAATTGAAATACGTCATATTGTACTACAGTGAAAAGTAATTAGCAAAAGCATTTATAACGTATAACATATGCACCCATATTGTATAAACATACATAAAGTATGTTTACATTTAAATATTTCACGATTTATACTACTCCCTTTTATTACAAAATGATCATTTCATTTATTTAATCATTCTTGACTTTCAATTTGAACGTAGAAGTTTGTTTTAAGATAATTCTAACGCTGTTATTACATTCTCATAAGTGCTCCGCTTTCATTTAATCGATAGCTTACATTATACCGATTATGTTATACCGATTAACAACACAAAGCTTGAATTAGTGAAACTCGAATTAATGCTAATTAGTGCTATTAAAAGATACTTGAAATCGACTGGAATCAACATACGAGGAAGGCAAATTACGTTGTTACAAAAATTCTTACGGAAAACTATTTCATTGATCTTCAAGAGTTCCTCTAATCATTTGCAAAATACATGATTTTAATTTAGATTGAATTTTCATTGCATAGATTAGCGCGTAGAGACATGCATATATTACGCGTGCACATTATGCAGATATCGAGCACACGTACAAAGGAAATCTTATCAAAGTTACATCCAAGTGTCGTCCACGTGCATACATTTATTATTCGCTTAATCTTCTAGACCAAAAATCGACGCTGTGCAAATCCATTTCTTTTTCAAAAGTCTAGAATTCGAAAATCAACACAGTTCGGTCGATTTGAACCCCTCGAAAGCCTCTGAATCTTAAGTGAGACAAATTTTAAATAAAAGTTTTATATCAGAAATATTGATGTTCTGACCTGACGTATGCTGTTCTATATTGACTTGGACATTGACTTTTCTTTTTTTAATATATTTCACGGAATGTCTCATAATGTATCAGTTTATCGACTCTTATTAAAAAGTCGCAGTGAATATACAAAATGCAAAAGAAACAATAATGGACTCGTTTTTAATGCCATATACAGCAAGACTTTATAAATAACGTTTGCGTTTTGCTATTGATTTACAGCAGTGAGCGTAGTGCATTAAGTGTACTGAATAATAAATCGACTTGCCGAATAAATCCAATAACACATCGATATTACACTATATGCACGTAGTTTTCGTATTGCGAAATATCAGCGATTCTACAGCCAGTAGTGTTATAATGCACTAGTGTAAATTTCATTTACCTATTCTTGCCCTGCATAGAGAGGAAAATAGAGAATCATTGCCATTTTTCTCGCGCTTTTTACTACAATTTTTTAATAAAGTTTTTAAGAAGCTTTGCTTCTCTTATCAGAAGCGTTTTTCTTTTTTTAACCACAGGATATTGCGTAGAATACCATTGAATGTAGAAATAGAAATCATTGAACATAAAAAGAAATCAAAAAATCCAAACAAAGATAAGTACCGTAATGACTTCGTTGGAAAATAAAAAAACGGGAGTAAAAGGTTTTTTTCATGATTTTAAGTCCATACGTTTAACACGAGCTTCTCCAACAATTTGAGACACGCTGGGATTTCAATTTTCGTGCATAGTAAAAAAGAAGGAAAAAGAAGAAATAAAAAGTAAATTACATTTGACAGAATACTTCAGCGTTCTTCATTATACCATTGCAATTGAAATAACGATTATCTCTAGGGCACTCTTGCCACGATTGTACCATTATTATTAACGAAATTTCACAAGTCACAAGAGTTGCCAAAATTAGAAGTGGAATTTCACAAGCAAACTCCACGTTAATAACTATTTGATCATTCGAGCTATTCGACGCGGGATTATAAAGTAAAGGGAAAGAGAAATTTATATATACTTGTCGAAATATTTAGTTATAGTCGGTGAATGTTATTGCGAAAGAGAGAAGCCAGGAGGGAGGGGGAGATTTAGTGATTAGAAAAACGCCAAGGTGAGAGGTTAAAGGCATCGAAACGGGTTATAGTCTATACAGATGGCAAATGTCTTTACCGTCGCGTCGGTTCGCATGAGCGGAATCTTTGATGCTCAGCTGACACGTAATTTCCTCGCCTTCTACCTTCATTCTCGCCGCGCGAACCCGGGAAACGGAGTAAGTTTCGACGAAGGGATCCGATCCCGAGCATCTCGACGTTCAAACTTATTCCTTTCACCGTGAAATCGAACGATTCCTCTTCGATTTCATCTCAACGGCGACGACTCTCGAGAAGGAAACGACTGTCGCCGTGACTCGAACGTGATCCTTGAACAGTCTAAACAGTCCACCGGTAACAACTGCATTAAAAGATTGCAGGTTATTAGCCTGGAGCGAGGATGATCTTGGCCGATTGAAAAAGACGATTCACGAGCGAGCCTTCCTAAAAGGGCACTTTGAAAATCCTTTCAATATCCGTACGAGTCTCTGAAAATTAGATCGCGCGGAAAGTAATCTCACGGATATGAATTTTATTATCGGAGTGCACGTCGTCGACAAATTTCGTCAGAGAAGAGATTAGAAAAAAAAAAAAAAACACTTGATCAATCGTCTCTGACAATCGTAACGATTTTTCGACGCCTCGCGCGACCTTTTGTCGATAATAAAGTCGCGCCTGAGTTATAATCAATGTGAAACACTGTATCAAACGGGACACATCCGTAACACGAAACACGATATGGGAGAGTCTGCTAATCGATGTCGGATTAATAGATTCGTGTTTCTCAAATGGGCATACACGGCCATGGTATTACCTTGCTCGTAAAGGAGAGCAGTATAATCGATTGGTACCTAGATCTTGATCAAAACTGACACTTGGTAATGGGAGAAGTCCAAAGTAGGAAATCTGTAAACTCCAAATGGACCCTGTGCAACTGCCATAGCCATAAATAATATGTATGTACCTACCTCCAATTGATGAATTGCTTCGAAAGAAGAAAGTGTGCCAGTACTGATTGTGAGCACAATTCAACGTGTGTCTTATGACTATCTACGAGGAAATAAATCTTCCCAGATATTTGAGAAAATTTGACAAATTCGATTTATTCTTGAAGCATTTCATGTTTCACCGAGTTAAACGTAAACCATTGGAAGTAATACCAGTTAATATATAATTTCGTAGAACAGAGTGCTGTGGAAAGAGAACCATAAATAATCGGTTTGTTTTTGAAGCTTTTTCTACTCGTGTTCTATATTGAGCTATGCTCGGCTAATCTATATTCAGCTTCGTAATCCAATCTTTTTAAAAACCTGAATTTTATATTACATTCAACCGTTGTGTGTGTATGTGTGTGTGTGTGTGTGTGGCCAAAATTTGTATCTATCTTTAATCTAATTTCAATTTAAAACCGACTGATTAGCCGAAATAATAATTATTCATAGCCAGTCAACGATGTAATAATAATAATTGTTTGCCCGATCACGTCACCCAGAAAGTAGAGAAGTATCAAAACAGCGTATAGCACGAGACACGCTCTAATGAAATGATTACTATACACAGGCGTTTACGTGCATTTACACGTAACGCCAGTTATGTTTACGGCAAGTGTTATGCAAATAAGTAAATAGCATACGTCCAGGTGTATTCACATGAAGCTTATGTTAGTTCAGAAATCCTATAATAAGGGATGTATCGATACCTGTCACGCAGAGAGCAAATTGGTTGGATTATACAAACATAAGTGTCCACGAGCTCAGATTTCACACCGTTTACTCTCGAGATAGAACCGAAGAACAAAAATTGAAATTAACAAAGTTAATAAAATAATCAGTTTGAATATTTTTGAAATCAGAAAGTGATTTCTATAGAGAAATAAAAGTAAAGTGAAATCGTTTAATTGCCAGGGGAAGGTAATTATGCGATATATGCAAGTCGATTTGAGCCTGCATGCAATATCAACGAATTATATGTTTAATTGTAATATCCTGTTGGTAATTTTCATGATGAACAATTCAAATTTATGAACAATTGATGGCTCCATAAGTAGATAATAACTATTGTTGTTAGTCATTAAGCTTGTAATTAATTTACATATTTTACTAACATTTATTTGCTGTTACGATAAATCAATCAGAACGCCCGCGTAATTACACAAGCGATAATTAACTTAACGAAAGCGTAGCCGATTTTATTAGGAAATGAATAAATAAGTAAATATTGAAATTTTAGGAATAAAAACTTCGTGGGAATGCAACGAGTGAAACGGAATTAAACTTTCGTTGATCTCTTTCATAAAAATTGTTAAAACAGACAGAACGGTAAACCTGAGACGCGTTTTC